ATCCCTACTTGGTTGCTGTAGGAAAAAGGCAATTGGTATAATACTAGCAGAAAGTTACGTTTTTTGTGTATTTTGAAGATTTAAGTTCTGTCATGTATTGCTTTGTTTTGTCACCATGAAATAATTATATGTTCATGTCTCATTACTAGAATGCAGGACAAAATCTTTATGCAAAGACAAATAATGAATTTCTTGAAAATGCGGAAAAGGTCAATCATTTTGGAACAATGGTCATAGATAAAAATTACAGTATCAAATAAATGAAATGCAGGGCGCTTGACAGGATTCAGTTCAGAACCTTTCTGTGCCATGTCTTAGAATGCAAAAATTAAAATGTACAAAGTTGTAGTTTCTGTTGTTTTTCATAAGTATGAATCTTCATGTTTCACTTGACAGAAATATCATAGACTGAGGGTGTTTGAAATCAGAGTGCTAAGCGAATGTTTAGACCTAAGAATGAGGAAGTAGCACTAAACCTAAGAAAATTGCATACTAATGAAATTCACAATTTAGCTGCAAATTGTGAAATTATTAAGTGGGAAATGAGATGGATGGTGCATGTAGCAGACTTGGAGGATATAAGAAATCCACAGAAAGTTTTGGTTGGAAAGACTGAAGAGATCGTTTGGAAGACATAGGCATATATGGGAGCTTAACATAGAAAGTGTTCTTAAAGAAAGTTGGGAGCTAGATTTATTGTGCTTAGGATAGTGACAAGTCGTGGGCTCCAATCAGCAAAGTTAATGCATCTTCAGGTTCCATAAAAGGCAGACAGATTCTTCAGTAGTTCTGTAACTATTAGCCTTTCAAGAAAGATTTCTCCACTGGGTTTTTTATAACAACAACGATAACAACGATAAAGATATATTTATTTATTTTTCTGGATTCTCTTTGCCCTGCACACTAAATAGAACAGTGCCCTGTGTTACAAAGCTTCTCATACACTCAGATGTTTCAATGCTTGTGGGAGTGATAAAATCTCTACAGTAAACCATACAGGTAAGTTACATAAGGTTTTTCTATTTCTTCACTATAGACTAAATCTCTTACGATAAAATTATGGAGGCAGGTATGAAAATATATAAGCACGCAGGCTGTGTGTAGAACTTGTAATCTGCAATGTATCTGAGTGGCCTACATTACTCCATAATCATTTGAAGCACTGTTGCCATAAGTGTTGTAAATGTTGGGTGAGCTATGGGGTTTGGAATCACATTCCAACGCAATGTACTGTATTTGTGAAAGAATTACAGAGTTGTTATGGTTCAGTGATGGCCTACAGATTGAAATTTCAGGGATGAATTCCTAGTAGGACTATTGGTGTTTTTCTGCTCATGTTGTCATGTGTGTATAAATACGTGGTATAACACAACCTAGAACAGTAAAAATAACATAGCGGGCCACAAACACATACAGGACAACATTATAGGTATGATGAAATAACAAAAGTTTTTACAAAACATAATAGGATTGATGAAATAATACATTATAACCATAATATATTTGCAGAACCCTCTTCTCAAGAACGACAAGGTGACACACATTCGGCCCCCGTCAAAAGAAATAATAAGAGGGACGACACTAACCAGCTTGGTTTACGAATTCCAATAGAATCTTAACAGTCTAACTATAAATATTTAAAGTATTGGAACAGCCGCTGTAGTTGCAAAACTTTAGATTTTACAGCCAATTGTATACTATTTATATTGTATATATATATATATATTCATTCATTCATTCATCAGTAATCTGTCAGACGACAGGTCCACAGTCTCTTCCAAAACAGTTCCTCCACTTAATGCGATCTTCTGTTTTTGGAAAGAGACTATCCAGGAAAAGTGATAATGTGGTAGTTTTTCCATTTGCTTTCCACATCGCAGTACAACAGCCGTTCAAACCACTCTGGTCACGCCTGTTGCTATACGAACTTGAACCATCTCGAGCATCATTTGCTCTGTGCTTCAAGTCGCTGCTGATGACGCTGCTTCCGGCATCAGTTTTTGGTGTCTCTCTTCGTCTGATGCCTACCCTTTGACCTGTCCAGCAAGGGAGGCCCTGCCAGTAGCTACGATACCGCTGGTATAGCTCTCAGGGTCCTTGGCATACTCAAACCACCTCACCACGATAAGGTGGAGACACCAACGAGGTGTGTATATATATATATATATACGTATTTTTTAACTTTTAGAACATGTAGTGTAATAGTGGCTTCTAACTCTATTGATGTAAAGGTGTCCCTCTGAATATGGTCTCTGAAGACCGAAACATGTAAGGGCATGAATAATTAAAATAACAAAATCTTAACCAGTCACAATGAACGGAACTATTTAACTTTTTCACTTCTTTATTAATTTATATTCTTAATATTCCATTTGAACGAGGGCTATTTTTTTTAAGAATTTCGTATCTTCCGTGAGTGTATTGTTACATTTTCAGTATTGGTTTGAAGAAAAAAAAATGCTTTCAAAATTGTAGAAAACCATTTCACTTGCACCATTCAAAGATCCAAAATTTCGTTCCGCAAAGGACCCCATGAACATTGAGTCCGCCACTGAGCTTTATATCCGGGTCTCGAAGTCAAACGATATTTTTTAAACTGTTGTTTTTTTGTGTGTGGTTTGTGCCAGTAGCTCAGAATATATAGCGTAGAATCGTGAATTGGAAAGGATGTGGAAGGAGGAGGTTGTTCTATTTGGCGGTTTTATTCCGGAACTTCCTCAAAGAGAATCTGTTGGACTGAGATCAGGAGAACGTGGCGGTCAGACGACTGGATCTCCACGGCCGATCCCTATATCCGCAAATGGATGTTTAATCAATAATGCAGTTGACGTGAAAATTGAGGAAGACGCGCTCGTGATGAAACTACATGCCGACTGAAGGAGCTGGTTTAACAGTAACACTCTAGATTTGTATTAGGAAGCCCCCTCTTAGAATCTCGGCTACTAAACCGAATATCCTGACTTCGGTTTTCGTTTTTTTTTTTCAAACTAGACTACAATAACTTCATTCCAAATACTTTCCAATTCATTATTCACTATGTACTGTAGATTTGACGGTATCTAACCTAAGCTACCGACAGCGTAATTAAAAAAAGTAAAAAGTAAAGATATCCCTGTACCAGGCCGTAAGGCCCATTGGATTGTGAAACGTTGAGGGTCCACCCTATCTAGACAATCGGCTCAAAGATGGCGGTAAGGTTGTCAGCCTTATGCGCCGGCCGCGTTTTGTAATTATTTCCACATAACGTATCGTTTTACTTCTGTTCATTGGTGGAAATGGTTGACAGAATTAAGTAGACGCTCAAGCATCAGGTGAGAATCCCGGAAAATGATGAACACCCACTTCTAGTATTTATTCCACTTTTCAAGTGTTTTCATCCGAACTCCCCAGAAAAAATTATCTCTGAATCTTAGCATGAGATTCACTAGAAATTCACCAGATCCTTCAGATCATTGCGTGTATAATTCTAACAACAACAAAATATACCTCCAAATTTACTGCAGTATATTTTACCATAAAGTAGCAGTTGTAAAAATAACAACAACAATAAAAAGAACGGCAATAAGAATAAATATTTGAAAACTAAAAAGCGTAACGTATGTAGTACCTATTTTTAGCAAGTCATTTTCGTCGCTCTCCCACTCTTCCTCAATTACAAAATTTTCACCCTGGTCTAGAGAAGAAGATGTGAGTTTGCATGAATCCATTTTTTTCTTCCTTACTTCGACACACTGTAGCAGTGGCAACACTTACTTTCTCTTCACAGTCAGAATTTTATTTACAGAACAGTGTGAAGCGTTTATGTTTACATTTTGTTCGTTAACTTATTTTTAATCAAACTCACAGCACTGTAAACACATTGAACATCAAAATTTGAATGAGAAAGCGTCAAAAATGATAATGCAACATCTGCTAGTTTGCCAAAGGGCCCTTTGCCCGTTGAATCTCGATAGGTATGGACTTCTGCCCCCAAATCTCGGAGAATCCGTCATTCCTACATGCTGAGGAAATTGCGTTGCCGTTTCCACAATTTGCGTTGCTCCATTCAGTAACACGTATTCAACTCAGGCTGAAAACAATTCTCGAAAATCGCGGTTGCGTTGCGCTTGCCAGTTTCCTTGGTGTGCCCTCGCCCTTACAGTGTCGTGACAGTCTGGTTAACACTTAAGCTTCTTATTCTAAGGGTCCCGGGTTCAAACGTGGAGTGGGACTCACTGAGATTTAAGTGTCTTTCCTTAGCTTTTCCAGGAAACTGGCAGGGCAATAGTTTAAAACAGACTTCATACCATTTCCTGTCCCAGCCATCATCATTCACAAATAATCTTACAGTTCGACGCTATATAATCTAGATTTAAATTTTGTGATCTCTGGTGTCGACCTTTGTTGTTTAAAGGAGAATCACGCTTTGGATTTTTTTTATCATCTCCGCTACCACTGTACTACCGAACTCCACGTTGAGTGCTGCAAAGAGATATGTCGAATTAATATTCTAACCCGATGAACCATGCTTGTCCCAAAACTTTTGATCATACACTTGAAATAAACACGAAACTTTGTGCCCGTCTCACTTTCAGCAAAAGGTCCAGATACCAACAACCTAGAATCTGCTGCCCTGTGAGAACATTGTTAGTTTAGGACGTGCTGGCTCTGCTCAGGTGATTTTGATTTAAGTACATATTTCCAAAATTATGGTTCGGTTTTCATTCCATTGCAATACTTATAGGATCTCAGTTCATATACTTGAAAGAGGAACCTAAAACAAAGTGTGAAATACAGTGATTTAGTGAGTTGTCAGTTGTCTACAAACGAAAAAAAAAGCTAGTGTGTACACGTTAACTTAAAAAACGAATACGCCGCCGGATGTTATGTATATTTCTGATTCCACATTTTCTAAGACACGGAATTGATAGTCTTCAAACTTAAGGTCTTTGCATCGACTGCTGCCGTGCCCCTACCAAAACATAGGCCATAGTAAACAGTATTTTATTTTGGAAAGGCAATTGTTAAAATTTAAAAACCAGCTTACATTAATTGTTCATGTAAACAAAAATTCACAAGAAGCATAAATGTTACAGAAGAGTGGTAGTACCTTGTAATAAACATTCATAGCTACGTATTCATGCGCGTTGTAATCAGTTAGTAACTGATGCCGTAGCCATAGACACCGAAGCCGCAACCACTCAACAACAAAGAAGGTGAATATTGCTTCACGTATATATATTCCCATAATGTGTGGTTTAAGCATGCATCCGCGTTTGTGTGTCTCCGATGTCGTCTTTGTCACGTGTTTCTGTGTGATAATTGTGTTTGATTGATGTTAACCTCTGCAGTTTATGAAGGTATACAGAAGAACCACTGTGCGATGTAATATTAAGATGGCGGTGTTGTTTTAGCAAGTGGTATTGTTTTTACATGAAATTCCTTCGTGTCGCGTACCATTGTCGTTTTGGATGTTCTTTATATATAACGGTGATGTGATAGTTTATAACAGCATTCTGGGTGCGAAGAAGGTGACCATCGCATTGGCACGAAAGGGGAGAGGTAAGTTACTGAATTCCGTCTGCGGAGAAATAGTCTTGACGTTTGTTTTGTGTGTGTGTGTCTGCACATAATTCTGTATGTTAGTTAATTTTCCGAGAATAATAATACGTGACAGGCGTACGTGTTCTGTGTGATTTTGCTCAGCTTAGTGTCCTTATATCAAAATTTAGTTCAGAAGGAAGGTTAGGTTATTATTAAGCACCATCTAGGTGAGAGCAGGAATTTCCGAACTAGTGGTTGAATTAGGGAAATTATGAAAATATAGGGATTCGGAGAATAATTTATGATGTTAGTTGCAGCTTGATATTGTGTCAACAACAATATTTTTATGTGGATACGCGATGTAAGTAACAAAATTATACTTGGGGAAAATTGTCTGCACGTTATTAATGAGACCATTGGTTTTCAGTGAGATCCTTTGGCATGGTACACGTTGGGTTTTTGAATTATCTATGTTACATCTGCATTGACTCAATTTTTGAAATATCACTGAATGTCTCATACGTCCTCCCGATTTTCACTAAGTAATTCTATTATTACTGATAAATACTTACAAAAGCACAGCTGAATAATTTGGTTAACAGTTCTGTAATGTACTTGTATTTTGTTTAGAATATCTGTGGACTAGACTTAAACAGACAGCGAGCAGGTCCCATTAGTGGACCTTCAGAAGGCTCACTCATAGCATGGTTTACTCAAAGACAGTGTATGGCATAGTTTAAATTTGAATAGTGATTGTTGGCTGGTTGTGAAAAGTGGCATGCTGCAAAATAGGTGAAAGTTATTTCACACTAGATTATGTCTCTGTTTGTAGCACATTGTCACCAGTATTAATTGAACTTACACTCTTGCATTTCAGTCTCTATTACATTTATTTTTTTCCACCCCAATAGACTGGTGGTCTTTGTAGTATATATATAACATATAACTGGGAAAGTTGGCTTGGCCATATCTGTCCTTTAATGGCTCTAAGCAGGGCGAAAGTAATTAAAATATTTATGCTCAAGTGTCGAGTATTTAGCACTCATATTTTCCATCATTACAACAAAATAACATTTGTTATCGAAGCAAAAAATGTATGTTATGTCACAGCTATGTCAGTATAACTGAAAGAACAGCAACAGTTTGTAAGCTGTGCTCTTGTGCACTGTGAATTACACTGAAGAACCCACTCACCTTATTCAAGGCGATGAAAACTTTCCTTCTGGTAAGCAAAAATTTACAGTAGTTTTTACACCTGATTTTTCCCATGCAGTTCTCATACTTTTTTATGTTATTTTAAAAAACATTTCTTTGAGTATCTTACTGTCTCTAAGAAGCTATCCTTAATTACAAAAAAAAAAAGATATATGTTGAGCTATGTAAAAGTACATTGAAATTGCCCCTTATTCCTTAGAGAAACTGGGAGACAGTGTGGGACCACTAACGAACACATTTTTGTGGTATTTTAGAAACAGGCATATTGCTAGAAATTCAACTGACAGACTTTCAGGCAAAAGCAAAATACAGTATAGACAGGAGACTTGTTAAATCAGGAATGGAAGTCTTGAATTAATGGTTATATCTCACAAAGTCACCTGAGAGTGACTGCTGCCTCTTCTGTCTTTGACACTGCCTTGTGGCTAACTATCCATGAATTAAGAAGTTTTGGTGACTCAGAAATAAAGACACACTTCACATTTTCAATAGCTGATTTCAAATCATCCACTTTAGAAGGTTACAGAAGACATCCTCTACCCAGGCAGTGTTCCTGGAACTGAAGCTGGAAGACATCTCACAAGACAAGAGATCCACTCTCCTCAGGAAGATAATATCAGTAGTTGTTATTCTTCTCTATTGCTTCCATCTTCTGGGTTAAGGGTAAACCAAGCAAGAAACCAACATGAAACTGGCAGCAAGCAGAGCTGTGCCTACTTCATCGTGGTTTCTTGTGTGGCTTAACTTGACCCTGAAGTTGTGAGTGATATATTGATCAGCTTTCACTGACCGCACGGGGTTTATCACTGAAAATTGAACTTCTTATATCCACTGCTACGAGAACCAGAATTTTAAAATTTTGTTCCTGGTAGACTTCACATGTCCACTTTCATACTGTAAGAGGAAAACTGCATAATTACCCCACCCTTGTTTCAGGGTTAAAAAACTGTTCAGATCCATGAAGTCGTTGAGTCCCTCATAGTCACTCAGCTGGTTAATAAATTCCTTGCCTATTATGGAAACTGGAGATTCATTACAATCTTCAAAGGAACCCGCTACTGGTCTCCATCCTGAGCCAACTTAATCCACTCCATGTCTATCTCTTTAATATTCATTTTAATAAACTCCTGTTGACACCTGAGTCTCTGCTGGGTCCAGTCCATACTGCTAGAGGTAGGACCATCCTGACTGAGACCCTCCTGATATCTATTTGCTCTAACTATGTATGGCCAGAGATTTCTTTCCTGTGCCTAACCATAACTGGGTATTTTTGAAGTAATGGTAGGAGGAATCCTTTCCTATCCAGACTTCCTGGACATGGCACTATCCACAAGAGCTATAATATTTAGTGCTGCCTCAGTATACACTGACCCTCAGCAACACTTACAAACCTACATTGTGGCCAAGAGCACTAGGCCTCTAGACAGTTTACCAGAGGCCTTTCAATCAAGAGCTTTTACTGTCTCATACTTGGTGCCACAGCCAAATTTTTGGAGTGCCTCTCCTTCACCCACTCCTTAAACTTGAGCCTGCCAATAAATGGTGAGACTGAAATTGCTGGTTCAGAACTTTGGAAAGGATAACCAGTGACCAAGAGGAACATAACACCATCTTACTAGACAGGGCAGACATTCCCAGACAAGCTTCATTGTCAATTTCAATACCTCAGGGCCCCGAAAAACTGCTTTTCTGTTTTACCATATGGAGGTGTGCTAGCCTGTATGTTCCCTCCTCCTGCACTTCTTTGGACTAGCCAAAATCACACACATTTTAGTCAATAACATTGTAGTGTGTACACCAAGTGAAAGGGATATCCACTATACTTGTCCCACTATACATAAACCTTCTAGCTATCCTGGATAGTCCCCTGGACCAAAGGGTCACAGGCTAAGCCAACCAGTGTTTGAGTGATGGGATCTGCACTTAATGGGCGTTTTAGAAGTAGTTATTTGTATCATTTTGTCGTGACTCATCCAAATAACAGGGTCCAGTTCTGTTAGTTGGGGAAGGATCTGGGCTTGACCTACATCTGAACCCCTGTCATACTGCAGGAGACCTATGCCTCTGAGCTTTTAAGCCAAAGCACTGTCCTCAGACCATTCCCTCAAATCGAGATAAGCCTATCTTTTGTAGAAGACTATGGAGGCCTGTCTCCGTGGACTTGCCAGTCATACATTGTTGCTGATAAAAGAGTGCAGTGGATATTCCACCAGTGCTTCTCCTCTTATTTATCTATCTTTTACATATTCAGTGTTTTGAAAAGGAAGGAGGTGAGGCTGATAAGATGAAAGGCTAACTCTGACTACCATCTGAGGTAAAGGAACATATCTGAGATCAGCAGTGTCTCTTAAATATTTTCATCATCATGCCAGTGATGACCTCTAGGCCCTTTTGTAGAAGAGTTGTAAAAATATCATCCTCTGCCATAGATATGTAGACACTGAGGTTGACAGTTGCCCACCTGAGCCTGTTGTAGGACCCTTCCAGTCAACACCCAGTCCTTGGCCCCTCAACTGAGGACGCTGGGGCAAAGACCTCTAGTGACGTCTTCCTCATTTCTCACTTATGTCAGAAAGATAAGTCCCCAGCATGAGCTGTAATGCTTCATCCCCTGAGGATGTATATTCTTTAGAAAGAGGCAAAAGGTACACAGTTCTTACTTTGGAATCCTTAGTGAGGATTTTATGGAGTCTCCCCCAAACTCAGAATGATGTTGACATGCTGACAGAAGAGCCTTCAGCTTTCGTGCTTAGATCTTCTAGTATATCTTTTGTACCTTCCCTGAGCCCCTTTAAAGGATGCCAACAGTGTTCTCTTCCACGCACTTCGTTACCAACAGGCTATGTCTCACCTCCTAGTGTCCTCACATTATCAGATTCTGGGCCATGAATGTACGCTCATTAGCTATTCCTGCCTCTAATCAAAGTCAGAGTTAAAGTCAAAATTACTTTATGACTGGCAGTTTACCGTCAATCATTTCATCTTTGTGCCAATCTCCTTGAGACCCACGACCAGATATTTATTTTCCCCAACAGGACTCTTGTGGTAATAGTAATTTTTCTTGGCATAGAAAATTTGCTTTCTACCAAGACTTAAAATGTCTGTCAGTGAGAAAATAAACACTTAGATTAATGAGACTTGCCAAAAATTCTGATAATTTGTATAGTAGACCAGAGTGTCATGTCGAAGGCTTTCTTGATATCCAAGAACACAGCAGCCTTCAACATATTGTTGAAATTTAGGGTGACGCAATCTGCAAGCCTCACACACTTAAGTGTCGTACTGTTTTCTCCTTGAAAGTTGAACTGACATGCATTTAGTAAGTTTCTTTTCTCAGTGTGTTTTTGGATTGTTCATAAAATAGTTTGCCCTTAGTGGACAAGATGCTGATTGGACGTAGATTGTTTGGAAATTTTGTGTCTTTGCTGGTTTAGGGAGAGTTGTGATTTTTGCCTCCTTGCAAGGTAGCGGGAAGTGATTAAACCGAAGGCAGTTAAGAATAAAATGTGTTAAATGCACAAGTGGTATTAGCACAAGTGGTATTATTGGAAGATGCCGGAGGCATTAATTTGGAATGCCATCAAAACCACAGAACTTTCCTAATTTCTAGGATTTTATTTTTTTGAGACGTCGCAGGGTCGGAAATTAACAGGGATGTCTTCATTGATGGTAGCCAGCAGAGCTTCAACTTGAGAATCCACATGTCGTCTATGGTCACATTCGCACAAATCAAGCGCTGTGAACTGGTTTTCTAAGCGGTCTTCAATTGTGTTGGCTTTATCGATTGGATAAAATAGAGGGCC